TTAAATTCCCTAAGTCCCGTTTGATCAAATACCCCCACATATCAAAAACTTGCTAACACAGAAGCAAAGATTATATTCCGTGATTTGGACACTCCGCTAAATTCCCCTATCTATCGAAAGGTCTGCTCNAGGTGGAGTATGCTTTCGATGATGTTGAGGCTTTCATTTTTTATTCGTGCTGGCTGTTTGAGGATCCTGTGAGATGATCAACGCTTCCACCTGAAGTCTCCTTTCTTTGCTCGCCTGTGGCTCCGTATCGAATTTGTTTCGTATTTGAGCTTTGTTGTCAGCAAGCCCTAGTTACTCTCGCCTCCCTTGGCATAATGGGCCAGTGTAATACGAAGAAGCCTTTTTTCACAGGGGAAAACAGCTTTCCTGTTTCATATGAGAAAGGTCCCAGCACTACTTCATGAATGCTCCCTTACTAGCTTCTTGCTTCCGTCTCTGGCGTTATCCTCAATTCTTCTTAGGCTAATGTATACAATTTTTTCCTGTTTTCAAAGGACCATCGCCTCACAGTTTTTGCTTTTGTATTGTATGGCACACCCTCGGGTGTAATACATAAAGAAATTCCATACGCCGTTGAAAGAAGGATGCTCAGAGTTATTCGATGTACGCAAAAGCGTATTCAGAGATTACCGAACTTCCGCTGAAAGCTACAGGTTCTCTGAAATACAATACCACAATACCGAACGAGAACAATGACCAGAGGCCGCTGATGTTGTAATGAATCAGGGTGGCTGCAGGCTGGGTTCCTCTGGATGTCAAACATCCGAGTTGAGATCACAATCCATCCCTATTATTTGCTACTATCATGAAGGCTCTGGGTGGGATGAGGGCTTACTTTTTTTCTCTTGTGCAAGGAAGCTGACATACAGTGTGTCATGAAGGGAATGAATTTGCTTGAGCAAAGCGATGACCAAGTGGGCGACAGGTTATGTAGGTTACTCCATCTGTCCATGCTGAGATTGCTACCACATAATACAGGGTGCGGCAAAAGTTCGAAGAACGGATGCGCAAACTCAATTCCGTCTGAGGGATGCGCCCACACATTCGAATTCCAATCAAAATCGTAGTGGGGTAATGAATGCGTGCGTGGCCTGAACAATGACCCGTGTTGGCCAGTCGATATACAGCTCAGTGCTTTTATCCTCCTAGACGAGTCTGGTACCAATTAAACCGATCACGAAGGGATGGAAGGCTTGGTTGGTCTGGGCGCATAACGATCCGGGATTTGATCCGTAATCATGAGTGTATGAAGTACGCTACTTGCCACTACACCACCTCTAGTTGGAAGGGAGCCCAACGCTAGTCGGTCAACCCGACTGGTATAGTTATATTTGCGTGACTAGGCGAAATCGTTGAGTCGGCGATGATAAGTGTTTGGGTTGGATTCAAGTGATTGAGGCGCGGTCTCACTGGATGAATATGGTGACTTTACCTGGATGTTGTGAGACCGTTATCGAAAATTCGCCGACCACAGCGCGTTATCGTACTAATTTGGACACAGATTCCGTCACACGGAATAAACACCAGAAGTCTATTCTCTGATTCCATACATAGTTTGGGAGGAACGTTATTTTGATTGCTATCTGTCACTGTACGATTGACTCACATTATGTACAATTCCACAGCGAACCTATATCGCACTTCTTGATTGATGACCCAGGCATCGTTCCCCTCTATCACTCTAATGAGTTCGTGCTCATCTGCTCGCAAGTCAACTTTCCCTAGTGCTTTGTACTGAGGTCATGAATCAGTTTTTTTCTCTTTTGTTCTTACTTCTTTCTATACTCGTTAGCTTTCCTTGATTGTTTCGTTTTTCTTGAACTGTTGATTTCACGCTGCTATTACGATCATTTCACATTAGTTTAGCTCATGTAAAAAAAATGTATGGCGCATAAATGAACGGATAAATTAATAACCAGTCGGATCACCTGACTGACGCTGGGCTCTCCTACGTGCTGAAACTGTTAATTTGGACGCTCTAGTTCAGGATAACAGAGATCAATTTTCGACCAAACATACACACATTCGACATACGTCATGCGTGACCCGCTTGCCATGAGCGGAGTTCTACTCGAGTTGATGCGTGTTTGAGTAACATGGTTCATTCTTCTCTCATTCCATCTCGTCTTTGTATTCATATTCAAATTGTATTTCGTTGCGTTGCGTTTCGCTCTCTCTCCCCCTCCCCATACGCCTGACTCCGTCGGGTGTAGTCCAGCACAGTCTCTATCTACCAACTGTCATCAGTGTCTCGACCCTGCGCCCTGTACTTTAACCGACTTTAAACGCTTCAGCCAAAATTGAAAATTTCTGCACTTGGTTCGCCTCTGTTGGTGGAGTCCATTCCTGCCACCTAACATAAGTATTCCCATCCTGCCTGCTGTACTCCCAAAACATTTGAACGTTCTACGTAGCTCTTCGGCAACAGGAATTGTGACTTTACGGTCGAACATTTCGAACACAAACACAAACACACCCGCCCATACACACACCGGCAAATCTACAAAACACTCAGCACATTATATATAGTTGGATTATTATTTTATTTCATTCTGCAGGAAATACGCCTCACGACAAAAAACCGGACACTCCAGCACGCAATGAAAACAAATGTTGGGCAGGCATACCGGGTGGACATGGTGGAGTCTTGTTTCGTATACTGACATAGATTTGTGTAAGAAAGGAGAGAGTACAGTCTACTGTCCCACAAAATTTAAGGAGGTCCGAAGCCTGACCTATCTTGGTCATATTTGATGCGTCACATTGCGAGTGCGTACCGCCGTT